CCATATCCCTGTTCCCCTTATCCCCTTCCTCTTGTCTAATAAGACTTTCCCTCTACTTTCTTGTCATCTTTCTTAGACTCCACCTACCATGGAAAGCATCCTGTACTTGTCTTTTTTAATCTGGCTTATTTTGCTTAACATATCATCTCTGGTTCCATTCATTTTTCTGCAAACAACATAATTTCATTCTTTTTAAATAATACTCCATTGTGTTTATATATCAGGTTTCCCTTATCTACTCTTCTGTCGATGGGCACCCAGGCTGGTTCCAATATCTTGGCTTTCATGAATTGCATAATAAATGCGGATATACAGATAACCCCCTATGGTATGCTGACTTTAATTACTTCAGGGGTACATGGTATGGTCAAGAAATACAGTGAATGTTAAAATTTTTTTTTTAATTTTGGACAATAAAAGATACTATGCTATTAATTACCCTCAAAATAGTCCACCTTGCTTCAAAGACACTAATCCCATTGTTTCTGGCTCCTCTGAAGCACTTCTGCAAGTTCTCTTCTGTGAATGCCTTTAATTATACTGTCATGGCTGCCTTGATGTCCTGAAATAATTCAAAACACTTATTTTTCAACATCATTTTGACATAGGGGAAGAACCAGAAGTTTCACATGGATGACGCATGACATAATGTTTTTATAAGCTTTCCTTCCTTCAGATGGCAGTTACGAACAGCATTCACCATATTTTTATCAGACAGCATAAAGACAGTCACAAAGAGGAGTTCTAGAACTGCTTTAGAAGGTGGCAAGATGGGATAAGTATGTTGAGGATGAAGTAAAATATTTGGGGGGGTTAGTGTGCAATGTATCTTTTACTATAATAAATTTATTTCAACATTCACTATATATTTTGATCACTCCTTGTATACTAAGCAAAGGTATAGAGGAGTCAAATGAGAGCTCTATTTCTAGTTTTCTGAGGAACCTCCGTACTGATTTTCATAGCAGCTATAATAATTTACATTTCCATCAGCAATATAAAAGGTTTCCTCTTTTCTCATAGTTTCACCATTTATTTACTTACTGGTTTAGTATTCTTGTTGGTAACTATTCTGACTTGAGTGAGATGGACTTTTATTGTAATTTTGATTTGAATTTTTCTCGTGCCTCTTCAAGTGATGGCACCTGGGTCTTTTCCCCAGACGACCTAACAATGTGTCATGGAAAGAGCATTGGACTAGGAGGAGGCCCAGATGCAGACACACTGTGCTAGACCAGTGTTGTGACATTTACCTCATTCCTCATCCTTCTGGAGTTCAGACAGGAAATCCCAGAGGAAACCAGGGCCAGGCCTAGCACCACGTAGCACAGCTGAGAACCCCCCAGGCATCTTGACTCTCCCACTGATATGGGGATTAGGTTTTCTGCTGGAGGTTGTGGTCTACATGAGGCATACCCCAGAAGAGGGCAGTCATAATGCCAGTGTGGACCCCTGCTGATCCTCCTGTCCACCCCTAAGGGAGCAGTGGGAAGGCCCAGTAGGCACTGCAGAGAGACAGAGCTGTAGCAGCTTCAGGTATTTGTGTCACCTGGGGAGGCTGGGCTGGGGGGCTTGCTGGCCTTTAAATGCCCTTGGGTCTTGTAAATCCAGGGCCTGGATCACCCATGATCCAGAGAAGTTTGGTGCCATTCTTGGTTCTAACAATAGAGCAGCAGGGGCTGCCTCAACTCCTTCAGCTCTTTTGCATCATCTGGAAATCGGAAACAAGTGTAGCTGCATTTTTAAGTACCCACTGGTGTCAGGAATGCTATATGACCTGTTATTCCCATCATCTTACTAACCTGTTGGTAATTCTATGAGGGAGACAATGAACTACCTGCTTTCAGAAGCACAAACAGGTTTAAGGAATGAAACTAGCTTCTGCTTGATTCCTAAGTCCTTGCTCTTTTCTCTTATAGACATCACCTCCTTGAAATACACCACCTAGGAACACCAATGATGCTGCCAGGTGCTGGGGAACAGCTGGCAGGATACAAAATGCACAGAGAGTGGGCCCGGCCCTGTCATGAGCAAGGCTATCTGGCGCTTCTCCCCAAAATCAACAGGGTATATCCCTGGGTCTTCATGTGACTTTGCCTGCTGATGTCCAGAGCACCCTGGCCTAGGAAATCTCAGCCCCTCCAATCACTTCCTGTCATCCTCAAGAAGTAGCCCAAATGCCACCACTTGGCATGCAAGGCTCTACCTGGCTTGGGCTCTGCCTCCTCCTACCCACTCCTCCTTCTGTGCTTGGCTCAGTCCCACCTTCCAGATATCCTGGACTATGCAGAGTTCTCCAAACAGGCAGTGTTATTTCATGCCTCTGCACCTTTGCATGTGCTGCTTCCTCTCCGTGACACATCTTCCTGCACAGCCTGGTTGGCCTGGCCACCACCTTCTTGTTTTTGAAAGTGTAACTGAAACTTCACCACCTGGATTCTTTTCCTGACCCTGCCCCCAGCACAATGAGTTTCATGTCCCTTCTCTATCCTCTTTGCCATGAAGGGCTTTCCCTTTAGATAGCAGGGTTGCATCAGTTCTGTCCACCTCCCCATAATCCATGAGCTCCATAAGGACAACAGAGGTCCCTTTTGTGACTTCTCTTGCTGTCGTTGGATCACTAGAACTGTACCTGGGACTTGCAGGTATATGGACGGACAGCCAAGAGAATCACAGTATTCGACACAGACACAAGGTTATTTGTCCTCTGGCACAGATCCTCTTACTCACAGTTAGGAGAGACGGGACTCTGGGTGAAAGGGGCATTGAACAAATATGGAAGAACACCTGGGACTAAAAGTAGGGAAGTCAGGGCTGAGACTTTCCTTGGTGGCACTTCCTGGCGGGAGTGAAGCAGTATGCAGAAGTCAGGCAGAAGGGCAGATTGCTGGCAGCTGAGCTACCCTTCCATGCCCACTTTGGCTTTGCCCAGCTCCTATCAGAAGCTCTGCAGGTCTGCAGGTCTCAGTCAGCGCCAGGCTCTGATGGGTCTGTCAGAGGCCCCAGTGGGCCCTCAGGTCCCTGGGGGTCTTTCATATCCAGGTAGGATCTGATTTGTTGCTAGGGTTGGTGGCCATACATCTTGGCAAGGTCAAGCAATAGGCTTAGCTGAAGCTTCGGAGCCTTAAAGGTGACACTACCAGGGTGCAAAGGCCCGGAGTGTGAGTGAGATTGTGTTCTATTTTGTTGTGAGCTAGATGGGGTTGATGCTACCATCCATGAGCAAATGAAGAGGAAGCCAGAGACAGAAAATTTTTACTCAACAAATGAGTGACATCCATCACTCGGAGCTTCCTGCTTTTCCCCCTGGACCGGTGCATCCTTGGCAGGACACAGTGTTGGTGTTATCTATAGGCTCCAGTGTTCTTTCATCTATTGCTTTTTACACAAAGGCAACTGGGCACATTCTCTAAATACTCTCAGAGAAGTCTAAAAGTCCCTTAACTAGGAGTTGTGAGCCATATGACAATTGGTGGAACCTGGAAAATTACTGCCCCAAAGCTTGCTGCTCTGTGTCACTGTGACAGGTACATGGAGTGACCCTGGCTTCCTTATAGAATCTAAGTGCTTAGAAGACCTCTCTGATCCATCTGGGTGCCTTTGTGAATAAGTGGTCGGGGGGGTCAGGTTGTGGAAATCCAGGCTATCTAGCTAGGGCTTCATTCTTGATGAAAAGGAAAGAAACAGAAAACTAAGCCAAGCAATGGAGAGATGCATGTGTAAGTTCCTTCTCTTTAGAAGGTAAAATTGCGGGTAGTAGAGAGAATGGAGATAGAGATCTAGTTTGGAAGCTCAAGACCGGGTATGAAATCAGAGTGGCCTGGCAACCCAACACAGGGTTCAGGATTTGCAGAAATACCCCTTCTTTCACAAGTGATATCCTGTGTTGCTTCATGGGAGGTTTTGGGGAAGTGAATTTGGGGTTTGGAGGCAGAATCCCAGCAAGGGCAGAGTGAGCAGGTAGGGTCTGCCCTCGGGCTCATAGAGCTAAGAGATCTGGCAGAGGGTTCTAGGGCCTCCCGCTTTTGAAAGATAACTTCAATGAGCAAAGGCTGCTGGGTCTTTCTCAGTGCCTAGCTCTTTCTCCCAGGATGGGAACTATTCTTTTGTTTTTGTGTTGGGGTTTTTTGGTGGTTCGGGGATTGAATCCAGGGCCTTGGGCGTACAAAGCACATGATGTATGTTAAGCTGTACCCCCAGCCTCCATTCTGAAATCTATTTTCCATATACTTTCTGACCACTGGCTGCTGACTCAGCTCAGCTGATGCCCTTCTGGGAAAGCAGATGTTGACTCAGTCAGGCACTGCAACTCTTCCCCAGACTCTCAGGACAGGGGAAGGGGCTGGAAACTGTGAGTGGGACCTGACTGAACTGTCCTTTCCATACCCGGCCAATGCATGGAACATATGAGCCACAGAGGGAAAAATGATCTTTCCGTTCAAGAGAATGGGACCAGCCCTGGACCAGCCTGGGACTAGCAGAGGCAGCTTGAGTTATGTCACCAACTATCCCAGCTGACTCATCTCCAACTGTGACCTGGGCTCTGTCTGCTAAGTTTAAGGGAAACACTGACCCCACTTTGAAGACAGACCCTTCTCCCCCTTCAGTTGCCTCCACATTCCATCATTCCTGACATTTAAAAAATTCCCAACTCCCAGCCACCATCTCAGTCACACATGCAGAGACATGGAGGTACCCTTCCCTTGGTGAGACCCAGAGAAACAGAGAAGGGAGAGGCAGGAGCAGAGGAGCCACCTCCGCGAGTTGTGAGTGCCCCGCTAAGCAGGCTCTGCTAGAAGCCTCAGAGCTTTGACCAGGAAGATGGAACCCCCAGCACCCTGGCCTCTGGGAGTTGTTCCTAGCCTCCCTTGACCTCTGCCCTGAAGATCATGTGTCTAGAAGAAACCTGAAGGTAAAGAGTCAGCGATGGTGAGGCCCTGGAGCTACTTCCCGCTGGCACCTGGCTTCCTGCTGATATGGATACCTGTCTTCTCCTGCAGGTACCGGGGCTTCATCCTGCTGCTCACCTTCCTCATTTATACGTGTTATCACATGTCAAGGAAGCCCATCAGCGTGGTCAAGGTGAGACTGGGTGGTAAGGGAGAATGCAGGACCCAGGACACATGCGCTGTGGTAGAAGGGTCTGGGCCTCGGGCCATTGTTCTCATCATTTCCTCACCCTGCTCTCCAACTGCTCCTCCCCACACAGGCCCATGAGTAGTGTTCCTCCCCAACAATGTTTCCCTGGGGGCTCCCTTTGAGTTTATTCACCAAGACAACAGTGCCAGTGGGTGTGAATGGGATGAGAAGACAGAGCCCTGGGATCTGTGGGCTCTGCTCATGGAGTCTGATGTGGCCACCTGCCCATCCCTGCTGGGGGAGGTGCCGGCAGGAGGGAGCATTGAATGGTGTGGCTGGGGTTGGAGGTGGCTCGTCCCTCTCTGGGCTGAGTGGGTTCTGGGGTGATGGGAAGACCCCTGACCTAAGCCTTCCATTGCCTCTCAGAGCCGTCTGCATCAGAACTGCTCGGAGTTGATCAACCCCATCAATGACACCCACAGTCTCAATGATACCACATGGTGCAGCTGGAGTCCATTTGGTGAGAACAGGGGGTGTTGCTCTTCCCCACTCTTCCTCTCTTCCTCAAGAAGAGGCTGTCCAGAGCCAGAAAGGGCTTCTTGCAGGGCAGCCAAGCAGCCAGCTTTCTGTATCTGTTGTCTGCTTTCAGACAAAGATGACTACAAGGAGTTACTGGGGGCTGTGGACAACGCCTTCCTTGTGGCCTACGCCATTGGCATGTTTATCAGGTAACAAGAGAGGCCCACAGTGAGACAGCTTAGAGCTGAATGACCTGGGCACAGTGGGCTGAAGTGAGCATGCTGACCCCTCCCCTAGGTGAGGACGGGCTGTCAGCCTCCTTTACTCTCTGTGGGTGGCCATTGAGATTGCTCCTTTACCTGGTGTACCCCACTGTTAGCAGCCCCTTCTCCTGAAAGCTCCTTTCGAGTATTCAGCGAGATAGCAATGATGGTGGGCAGGGACTGGGGTCCTCTAAGAACAGCCCTGGATGTGGAGAAGATCCATGGAAGATCCCATCTCGAGCTGTGTCCAGAGTGGCAGAGTCAGCGTGGAACTCATTGCCAGGAATCACAGATGAAGCCTGTGTGTCACACTGTGGGAAGGGACAGCCACTGAGGAATTTTATCCCAGTCTTACATTTTGGATAGATCACTCTGTGGGGCAGGAATGCTGAGGGAGATTTGGGAGATGGCAAGCTCAGTCATACTAAGGGAACAATTTGACAGCAGCCCAGGCTGCTGAGCTTGAGAGTTTGGGTTACTTAGTGGTGATAGAGGTGCCAAGGAGTAGGCACACTGGAGAACCATTTAAGGGGTGGAGTGGGGGCTGGGGGTATAACTCAGTGGCAGAGAGTTTTATCTAGCACATGTAAGGCTTTAGAAAAAGGCACTAGAAAGAGAAAAGAGGAAAGTAGAATGTGTGGGCCTCAGGGACTGATGTGAGGGGTGGGAAGGAGAGGCAGAGCCTGAGGTAGCTCCTTTGGACTGGCATGAGTGGCCAAGTGGATGGTGGTGGCCTTTACTTAGATCAGGAGTGCAGGCTGAGGACTGGCTGGTGAAAGGAGAAAGCAGAAATTAGTTCTGGAATGCTGGGCTTTAAATGCTCTGGGGACATCTAAGTGAAGATTCAAAAGGCACCTGGACAGGATCCTGAAGCTCCAGTTGCGGCACAGGATGGAGGCTCACAGATGGGGCTGGGAAGCACACGGGTGGTGTGACCACAGGAGCCTGGTCTGGGAGAAAAGTGTGTGAGAGGAGGGGTCAGCCAAGGGTAGGAGCTGAGCAATAGCAACCTCACAGGCAGCGGTGTCCGAGGAAGCGGAGGTCCAGGAAGTGGGCACCGAGCTTCATGCGTCATCTGTGGACATCTTGGTGGCCAGGGTAGCCTCAGCACCATGGGTGGAGGAAGAAATGAGGTGGTAGAGTGGACAGAGAGGAGATTAACTGTAAACCCAACTCTGTCTTCTCCAGTGGGATCTTTGGGGAGCGGCTCCCCCTCCGGTACTACCTTTCAGCCGGAATGCTGCTCAGCGGTCTCTTCACCGCCCTCTTTGGCCTGGGATATTTCTGGAACATACACGTGCTCTGGTACTTTGTGCTCATCCAGGTATGACACTAGTTCATGTACCCAAGGCTCTGTTCCCATCACAGAAGGGATCCTAGAGGCCACTGGTTCTCCCCAGCCACCCCAAGGTATAGCACTCAAGGACTTGGACTCCTTGCTCCTAGTCTAGGGCTCCACCTGCATATGCATGGGTCCTGCTTCCCACCCCTGACAGCCACGCACTCCTGGCTCAGTGCTTCTTGCTCGCACACTATACTGAGGCCACTTCAGATGCACAGGCTTGGACTTGGCTCCAGTAACCTTGAGCTAGGTGAGAAACCAGCTGGTGGCATTGGGGTGGATGTGGATGTGCGTGTAAGGGACAGGTTTGCAGGGTGGAATGTGGAGACCCATGACATTGAACCACCTCCACCAAGGGTGGTCAAGCAGGGCACGCGCCCAGACCTGTTCTCACCCTCGGTCCTCTTTCATTGCAGATCTGCAACGGACTTGTCCAGACCACAGGCTGGCCCTCTGTCGTGGCCTGTGTTGGCAACTGGTTCGGGAAGGGGAAGTGAGTGTGACAAAAAGGAAAATGAGTAGGGAGGACCAAGGAGGGCTGGGGCCACTGAGACAGTGATTAGTAGCCCTCTGGGGGATCCAGGGAAGGGATGAGAATGTACCTGTGTCCTGATGGTTTTCCCAAGCAGGGAAGGACAAGAATGTTTCCAGGCTACATAGCAGACTGGCTTTCTCACTGATGAGGACTTCACCCATAGTACCAGCAGCCTCAGTTATATTTTTTCTCATAATAGTTATATAACATTTTTTTCCTCTTTTTTTTTTTTTTTTTTTTTTTTTTT